TTCCCACCTATGCCTCCACCATAGCTGGGACTACAGGCATGTACCACTATGCCCGGCTTACTTGTTGAGATGGAGTCTTGCTATTTTTTGCCTGGGCTGACATCAAACTGTGATCCTCCCAATCTCCACCTCCTAGGTTGAGGACTACAGTTGTAAGTCACCACACCAGGCTGCCTTCTGGTACGTTAACCTCTCATAGTCTTTTGCCAGGTAATCCAATCATCTGTGTGTACATAATGGTCATCTGCATTGTTAGATTTCTATTCCTGCTGAAACAAATTACCACAGTTGGGGCTTTAACAGCACACCGTTAATCATATTACCACTCTGTAGCACTGAAGCCCAACATAGGTCTCGCTGAACTAAAAATTACTGTGTCATCAGAGCTGCATCATTTTACATGCAAAATATATTTACTATCTTAAAATCCCCCCAAAAATCTCACCCACTGCAGCATCAATTCAAAGTCCAAAATCTCATCTAAATTTCACTGATTCCAAAGTTTTAATCTTATTATCAAAATCATTAAATTAGGTTCAGGTGAGATTCCTTTTCATTCTGGACCCATGAGACTAGAATACAAATTCCTTGCTCCCAAAACACAGTGGAACTGTCTTAGGATAACAATTACAGATCTGCCCATTCAAAAACAGAGAACATGGAAAGCAAAGTTGCTGGTAGCAAGTGATTTTAAAGTGTATTTTTGTTATGAAATTCTTATGCAGTGTGTTTTCTATGGCCATGTGTCTTCATTTTCCTCTGGTAAATACCTAGGAGTATAACTGCTCACAGGTAAGTATGTGGCTACTAGGCGAACTGGCAGGTTTCTGTCTGGGCAGAATTCTACATAGTTCTCAGTGCCACCCTTCACGCCCACCCTCTGCTTTTTCATAAAAGGCAGCTAGCACGCATTCAGCTCCGTCAGCCTCTTTCCCGCTGTAGAGTTCTGGGGTACTGACAGCCTTCTTCTACTCTGTCCTCTCTCTGTCCCTCCAAGTCCCAGCTGGTAGTGCTTCTGCTGGTGTAATATTCTTGAGCACCTTGTGGCTCTACCATGTAAGTACAAAGACTTACTCTATTACACAAGAGGCTCCTCCACAGATCGTGCTGGGCAATCCCATCTCTATTTTCAGCTTCGGCTTGGCTGCTTAGGGAATCTACAAGCTTTACAGCATTTGTGTGAGTGAATACGATGACCTTTTGATCTAAGGTTCCAGCAAAAGGTTGTGCCATGATGCCTTTGTTTTTTTTCTAGAGCACACATTTCTGACAGTGAATCTCTTGGTTGTAATAGCCTTTGACATTAGGGTAGACTGAAAATTTCCAAAATCATCAAGTCTTAACTCTCTTATCACTTAAGGATCTCCCCTGGATTTACTTCTCTACTTTCAAAGTTAACTAAAAGCAGCAAAAAAGAAGGTAGGTGCACCTTCAACACTTTGCATGGAATATCCTCTGTTCCTGCTTCCCACATGATCACATGCACAATTCTACTCGGTTTTCTGTAAGCTTCCGAATTATTAATTCTCTTCTGAGCCCCATATCAGCACCTTCCCTGTCCACGTTTTCACCAGCAGTCTACTCACAACAGCTTCCTGATCCTTACTTCTGAGTCTAGCACCATTATTAACAAACACATTTCTACTGGGTTTTTCTATCATGTGCCTCAAAAGTCTTCCAGCATATGTTCATTTCCTCACTCCAAAGCTACTTCCACATTTTTAAGTATTTGTTGCAATAGTACCCACTTCCAGGTACCAAAAAATCTGATACCTGTATTCAGTTTTTTCTTTTGGTTTTTTTGTTTTTGTTTTTTTGGCAGTACTGGGGTTTAAACTAGTGCTTGTCAGGCAGGTGCTCTACCACTTGAGCCATACCCCAAGTCCTTTTTTGCTTTAGTTATTTTTTGAATAGGGTTTTACATTTTCCTCTGAGGCTGGCCTCAGAGCACAATCCTACCTATGCCTCCCATACAGCTGGGACTAAAGATATGAACCTCCACACCCAGTTTATTTGTTGAGATAGGGTCTCACTCACTTTTGGCACTGGCCTCAAACTGCAATCTTCCCAATCCCCACCTTCTGGGTAGCTGGGATAACAAGCATAAGTCACTGTACCAGGACCTGTATTAGTTTTTTGTTGCTGCTATAATAAAGTAGCATAAACTTAGAGGCTTACGGCAATATTCATTTTTTAAATTAGCATATATTAATTAATGCAAGGGAATATCATTACTAAGTTTCCACTCATGCATATAATGTACTTTGATAAAATTCACACCTTTCATTTCTCTTACAGTTATGTGAGTTAAAAGTCCAAAACTGGTCTCCCTGGGCTAAACTGAAAATATCAACATGGCTGTGTTTCCTTGGAAGCTAAAGGGATTGCTATGACTTGAGTATGTTCCCCAAGGGCCCACACACTGCAAGATGAGTGTACAAGTAGTAGAACCTGCAAGAGGTGAAGCCTAGTGGAAGGTGATTAGGTCATTAGAGCACTGCTCTCAGAAGGGACTAATGTAGTTCTCTCAGGACATAGTCCTGAAAGAGCAAGTTATAATAAAATAAAAAAAAAATGGGGGCTAGGATGTAGCTCGGTGGTACAGCGCTTGCCTAGCATGCATGAGGCCCTGGGTTCGATCCCAGCACCAAAAAAGAAAAGACAAAAAAAAAAATGGAAGTCTGGCCCCTGAATCTCTCTGGCTTCCTGTTTTCCTGTGTGACCGTTTCTGCACACAGTCCTACCACTGTGATGCTATCAGCCATGGTGCCCTCCTCAGAGACCAAACAGACGGGGCTACACAATCTTGAACTTTCAGTCTCAAAAACTGTGAGCTAAATAAACGTCTCTTCTTTCTAAAGTACCCAGCTTTAGGCATTTTGTTTTCTCAACAGAAAATGGGTAAGACAGAGGGTGTGCATTTCCTTGCTTGTTCCAGCTTCTGGAGGTCATTCATATTCCCCTATGAGTGGCTCCTTCCAGTCTTCAAATCCAGCAGCAATGCAGCTCTCTGGCCTTGCTTCTGTCATCACATCTCTTTACTGACACTCTTCCTCTGCAGCCCACTTCATTTTTAGCAACCATTGTGTCCTTAAAGGGTCTACTTGAATAATCCCAGCTAATCCTATCTGCTTTAATTCCCCTTTGCTGTATAACATAGTTCCAGGTCCTAGGAACTGGGACTTGTACATGATTAGGGGACCATTATTCTGCATACCATATTTACTACTTAAAATGATCTTGAAGTAAACCATAATTCAAGATAGCCTAATAACACTCTGAGGGAAGTATTAACAGCTAAAAGAAACAACAACAACAAAAAAAACCCAGCTTTTAAAATTTTTCTTCAAATGTTTAATGAATGTAGCAATCTAACGGAAGGTTTTTCTGTTTCTCCTGTGGCAGACTAATACGACTCAAAAGTTTCCAACCCTTCTCCCTTGTCTGCTTTTAATACTTGGGCTGTGAAAGCTAAATACTCTTTTTCCTGGTCTCCTAAGTATAGTCATATAACACACTTGTGCCAAGTGAAGTCTAAAAATTGCCTTGAGAAAGCTACTGCATTCCTGATAAAAGAGGCAGATGGTGCTGGCACTCCCTGGCCCCTGCTCAGTGGCTCTCCTGCCTTGAATGTGGTGCAGAGCCAGTAACTCGGGCATCTATTTTGTAGTAATAGAGTATGTCCAAAAGAATTCAAGAGACAGTAGCCTTGCGGAATGACTGAACCAACACCAGCATATCTATGCCTCCAGATTTATAGTTATAGGAAGAAAAGTAAACTTCCATATTGTTTAGGTCATTGTTTACTTCTGTTTTTCTGTTATTTTCAGCAGAAAGTTATCCTAATTAAAACTATATATTCAACATACCTTCTGGTTAAACAAAAGCACCCTCCTTCAAAAATGCATTTTTTTGTACAAAAAACGTATTCAGTTAAATGAGTTATAATTAATAATTAAAAAGGCACTCTTTTAAGTAACATTTATCATATATAGTACTATAAATTGTACATATTTATTCTAAGACATTTGGGAAATTTTCAAGTTTAAAGAAAACAAATATTTACCACAATCTCAAATACCCAAAGATCACTTACTGGTAATATAGTAGTGTATTTACATTCACTTTTGTATATACATATGTAAAACATCTTGAAAAGTGAACTACATGGCATATACAGATTCAATACAACTCTCACTACAAATTTAGTGAGGATTTTTCCATATCATTAAAGATGTTTCAAAAACAGTTTCAAATATTTCATCATATGATAACATGGTTAATCAAATAATTTTAACAATGATAAGCACATTGTTTGCCCTTTTTGGTAGAATAACAATATTGCAACAAACACCGCTACATATACAGTATTGTTCTGTGTGTGTGTGTGATTCTTTTCTGAAGTTAGTTCCCACAGATGTGGTATTACTGAGATAAAGAGACAAACCTTTTCAATCATTTAATAAACACTGCCAAACTTTTCTAGAAAAACTTAATTTATTACTCAACCTTCTGTGTAAAAGAGTATCAAGCTCTCTTATAAGTACATTAATGTTGCTTTTTTGCCAATCTGATGAGTAAAAATATTGTATCTCATTCTTGAGTTTTTAATTTACACTTTTTGGTTACTAGCAAGAGTGACAATCTGAAGGTTTTAGTATTTTATATTACTTATCTTGTGAACTATAACTTAGTATTGTTTTTAAGTATGAGTTCTTTACATATTAGATGCTAGCCTTCTGATGTTATTTGCTGCAAATATTTTACTTGTTTATATATTTTTTTGTGAACTTTTTGAAGGTAATGAACCGATCAGCATTATCCTTTGTAACTTCTTTCTTTGCTTATCAGATAAGGAAGGTTTTCACATTATGACAACTGTATTTTAGAAGAGAATGCTTTAAGATAGCATTTAATCTTACTGGCAGTCAAAAAAGTAAGAACAGTAGAAAGAGAACAATGTGCAAGTATCTTTTCCTAGACTTTCATTACTCACATACCTGCTAGTGACGATTATCACATCCTCAGAGATGGTGGCCATTTCCTTGATGGTAAGGTAGCACATTCTCCTCAACGTTTGCTGGAAATTATTTATGAAAAGGTAACAGGTCATTCACAAGAAACTTTTTAAAATTTCAGTACAGTTAAAATTCTACTTAGGGTGAGGGCCCCAAGTAGAACAACAGTCTTTAAAACGTTCATATCTACCCAAAAAATCTTTTTAAAAATATCTGGACAAGAAAACATTCATAATATTACTACTTCTTAAAGACAAGCAATTGATGCATTCACACCCTGGAAAACATCAATGCAAAAGTTTTAAAATTCAATTAATTATATGGGTCTTTCTACAAAGAGGTCCATACTTTGATGGTGTAAGTCCAAAGACAGACTTTTTTCTGAAGGTGTTAAAGGCTTGTCCTAGAAAATGTACTTTTAAACTCTTAAAACAGTATGTGTGGAGAGATGTGCAGATTCTGTTCTTTCCTCAGTTCCGTTTAACCAGTGTTTCTCCTGAATCCTAAATGATTTGTGACTGGACGACCAACTTCCTATTTTGATTATCAAAATTTCCAGATGGATACCTAGATCCAAAGGAAGTGCTAAGCTAACAATAACAAAGCTTCCATTCCTCCCTCCTCTCTGCTCTACACAGAATCTGGCTTTTTCACATACTATCGGCAGCCATCAAACCCCAGGCTCCTCTAGTCTGTCCAGCTTCATTCCCTACTAAGGAACTTCCAATGTCCTATGAGTAGAGAAACTTGAAAACACCAGACCCAGTTCCAGAGTCCAGGCTGTAGAAAGAATCTGGTGGATTCTACTGAGCCTCTTGAGGAAAAAGAAAGGTGTGAGGATTCTCAGATGATTTAACAAAACAAAAGATCAAAGAGGAAGCCAGCATAGGGCAGCCCATATAAAGCCATATAAAGTTGCTATGAAAACAAAATGGAAAATAAGAATCAAAATTTCAGAGCTGAAGAAAATCCCATCCTACAATAAAAAATCTATCCCGAAAAACAGAAGAAAACTGGAAATGCAAAGAAAAATCAGCTAAAGCAAAAAATAAAATGGGGGCTCAACATTAACAGCCATCAGGGAAATGGAAATTAGAACCATATTTCAGACACTACCTCACACCCAACAAAACGGCAAACATCCAAAGACCAACAATACAAAGTCTTTGCAAAAATATGCTTAAGCCAGTAAAATAAACCACCCATAGAAATGCTGAATAAAATATGAACCAAAAATTCAAATATGCAGCCACAGGCAAGATTCAGGGGTATCCACAGGTTCTGGCAATGAAAACAAACTACATATAGCATGCCAGAATCTTATATAAAGTATATGAAGAATTGGATTCTAAAAAGTATATTCTTCAGGCACAAGGAATATTATTCCAGACAATGATTCAGAAATACAGCAAAGAATACAAAGAGGTCAGAGGGGGAAAAAAGGCAGTAAAGACATGACTAAATCTGAACAACAAAAAACCCACAAAAATTAATATGTCATAAATTTTAAGCATTTTTGTATGTAAATGTGCATGTGTCTATACTCTAAATATAAGGTAAGAGTGTTCTAAGATTCTTAAATTTCCTATGAACAAGGAAAAAATAAAGATGAATGTTAGATTTTGGTAGTCAAAAACCATGAGGCAATTTTTAGGGTAACCAAGTAAAAACTACGAAACTATTATCCCATGTCTCTCTGTTGGTCCTCCTTTTCAATGTACTTTTTCTCTCTTCTTTCAGTTTCTGTTAGTACCTTCAAGAACACTGGGGTTTTTTTTTGGTTTTTTTTGTTTTTTTTTTTTTTTTTATCTTATGTCTCTAGTCTGCTACTAACTCCATGGAGTGCATTTTCTTTTTTTTTTTTTTTTTGCTTTAAAAAAATTCTGGAAGTCTATTTGTATCTCTTCTATTTTACTCCTTATTCTTGTTATGCCTTTCAAGAAGCTGATGGTGTTTATAATAGTTATTTTAATGTCATTGCTCATTCCACCAACTTTATCATTTCTAGGTTTATACCTATTGACTACTTTTCTCCTGATCATGCATAGTACTGCTTCTTTACATGCCCAATTTTTTTTTTTTTTTTAAGATGGAGTCTCCTTACATTGCTCAGGTTGGTCTTGAACTCATGGGCTCAAGTGATCCTCTCTCCTTAGCATCTCAAGCAGCTGGGAGTAAAGGTATGCACCACCATGCCTGGCCTACATGTCTGATTCTATTAGATGCTGTACATCATGATATTTATATTAAGTGCTGGATTTTGCTGTACTATTTTATATATCATTTAATTCTACTCTAATATGAGCTTAGGCTAGCTGGGATCTGTTTTGGATTTTTGTTTTTTTAACCTTTGAGGCTTACTCTTAGGCTAATGTATTCCCATTACTTAAGTGATACCCTTCTAAGAACTGTACCAAATGTCTTATGTATTTAAAAGGTCTTTCTAATCTCACTGGAGGAAATATGCATTATTCTCAGTCTTGTGTTCTTCTGAGTCTTTCCTGAGCCTTGAGTAGTTTCCTTTTACACGTACACAAATCAATTCTTATCCAGACTCACAGGATGGGCCTCACTAGATGGCTGGCTAACTGTCATTTTCTCCCTCTTCCTTTCCCTCCTCCTTCTTTGGTTGGCTGCCCTACAAATTCAAATATTCTTGGCTTCCCCAATTTTAATATGTCTTCCCAACTCAGAAAGACAGGAAGTCTCCTTTACAGTCTGCCCTGCCTGGCCTAAGGCCTGCAACCTGCCCCTGGGCAGCTAACTAGTGTAATCCCAGAGCTTACCTTCTTTGCTTTCCTTCTTCAGATCATAGTTTTGGGATGCCTGTTAGCTAATGTCTGAAAACTGTCACTTATTTCATTTGATTTTATAGGATTTATGGTAGAAGAGTAAATCCAGCCCCTTTATTCTATCATAGCTGGAAACAAAACAGAAATGTGGTTCTTAATATCAAAATACAGGACAAATCATCTGGGGCTTTTTCTCTTTCTCCTTTTCTCCTCTCTATCCCCCTCTTCACTTCCCCTCCCTAGTTATTCTTTCATTATTAATTTCTAACACTATTCCATTAAAATTAAAGAACATAGTCTAGGGATAAATCTAATGAAGATGTATTGTAAGCAATTATGTGTATGTCACACTGTACTCCTGTACAACTAATATATGCTAATAAAAAAAACCACAAAGTCTATATACTGAAGCAGAAAAAAAAAAGAACATAGACTATATGATTTCACTCCTTTGAAATCTGTTGTCTGGTTTAATGGATCAATTATACATGGTTATTTTTGTAAATGTTCTTTTGTGTTCTCCATTTACACTTAATGTAGATAAATCTATGTATGCCATCTGACTATATGATTTATGTTTGTCATGCTAACTACTGTTTCTTTTCTTCTTTTTTTCCTGTTTATTTTCTTATCCTTTTTTTAACCCCACCCCAGATCTTTGGGTTTTTTTTTTTTTTTGTACTATTAGTTTGGAAGAGAAAAACAATGAAAAAAAAAAAAACCCAATGAAACAAAAAGCCATTCTATAAAAAGACCAATAAGATTTATAAACCTCCAGACAAACATCCTAAAAAAGAAAATATCTAACTACTTGGAAGGCTCAGATAGGGAAGATCACGGTTTAAGGGCAGCCTAGGTAAAAAGTAAGTGAGACCCCCCCCCCATCTCAACAAATGGCTGGGCAAGGTGGTGTATGCCTGTCATGTGGGAAAGCACAAACAAGAGAACTTCAGTCCAACCCAGCCCAGGGAATAAAGGGAGACCCCATCTCAAAAATAACCAACCCTAGCCAGGTACTGGTGGCTCACACCTACAACCTTAGCTACTTGGGAGGTGAGATCAGGAGGATCGTGGTTCAAGGCCAGCCCAGGCAAACAGTTCAAGAGACCCCATCTCCAAAATAACCAGAACAAAATGGACTAGAGATGTGGTTCAAGCAATAGAGTGCCTTCTTTACATGCATGAAGCCCTGAGTTCAAACACCAGTTCCACCGGAAAAAAAAAAAAAAAAAACTATCTCAAAAGTAACCAATGTAAAAAGGTCTGGTGGAGTGGCTCAAGTAGTAGAACACCTGCATAGCAAGCACACACAAGGGCCCGAATTCAACTTCCAGTACCACCAAAAAAAAAAAGAGGGAGAAAGAGAAAGAAAATACAACTGACCAGTATCAAAATGAAGAAACATCTCTACAGATTCTGCAGACACTATAAAAATTATGAAATATTACAAACAGCTCTATTTTCCATCCTTCCACAATTTCCAAACACCTCTATAATAGTCTCAGGCAAAGTCCCCTATTAACCTCAAAGTCTTCTCTGAGCATTCCCATCTCTTTCTCTAATTGAATGAATTACAGAAAAATAGAAACCTCAATCTCTCCTAAGGATTGTCCTGCAGCTTTCTCAAAAGGGGCTGTTTTATCTTCCATCACCCTCACACCATCAGATTTACAGATGAGGAAACAGCCCAAGTGGTTCCTTACTGCCATTTCAAATCTTTGCCCCACCTTTTTCACTGCACCTCTTTCTTCCCCAAAACACTCTGGCTTTAAAGCTTATGTCTTTAGACTGTTTCACCTGCTACCATTCCTGGTTGTACATAAGAGACTCCAGGTTGCTTTTCCTGCTTAAAAAAAATATCACTACCTATTCACTGTCACTCTCTGCAATATTATCCCAGTAATAAATACTGGTTATGTTATTATCCTTATTTGCATATGAACCTTATTTCTAAAACTGTGTCTTTTCCATTCTTTGGCCTCCTGCTATGGTGACCACCTACTTCCATTCTCACAGCCTCTATCAATAACAGCATCTCCTTCCATCTGACTTCCAAGCATCTTATACCCAACCTGACTCCAACAATTCTTTCAACTCATGATGAATAAAATCCACTAACCCTGATAACTTTTTCAGACCCATCACCAGACACCTGCCTGCAAAATTAAAGCCACACAGACCATGACCTTTATAACAGCAACCCTCTGAGCCCCATCCCAGCAGCTTGAAATGCTGAGGTTTCTAGTCTAATTCCTCTAATAAATACCTAATCCCATAATACTCACAGTGGTTCTGCTTCCCTGATTGAACTCTATGAACCTGACACTGCTTCTCTTATTGGATTAAAGGCACTATTGACCCTGTTTCCAACGGTTAAGAGACAGGAGTCATCCACAGCATGCAATGGCAAAATATTTAAATTATCATCTGCAGACAAGGACCTAGAGAAGACAAAGCTTTGGGTAAGTAAGTAATTGCTGCCAGACAACATTTTAATGAAAATAAGCTATTAAAACTATGCTAAAAGTAAGTTGCTTAGTAAAAATAATCAGTTAATTAGTTGCTTTTAATTATGCTGAAGAATTCTGTTCTTAGAAAAAGAAAATGATGAGCTTAGAGCTTTAAACACATAGCTCAATGTCTGGATAAGAGACCAGAAATCTCCAACTACCTTAATACAAAGCCTTATGTCATGTGGCCACAAAGCTGCGAAGGTATATCCTGCAGTTGCTGAATTACAATGCAAATTCAATTCACACCCTTGCAGGGCATCTTATGTTAAAATTAGGACTTTAACTGGCAAGGGTGACCCTGGAAATTGAGATGGGCACACAGGGGCAGATTCTAATGAAGCTGAGTACCTGGAACTCCTAAATTCTGCCAAATATCTTCTGCCAATATAAGCAATCTTTCATCCTGTGTCTTAGGAAATTAATCTCCCTTTGCCTGAAGAGTATATAAAGGCCTCCCCTGAGACAGCTGCCATACAAGTGACTCATGATCTTCCTGAGGAACTATTCCTAAAATGTCTCATTATCTAGACACATGGCCAGACTCAAATTCCAGTCTTGGGACTGTAAAATGTGGCCTGTGCTGATATGCAATACTTATGAAAAGAACTGCAAGATTTGGCCAATTTATGTTAACGTGAAATATTGAAACATATATCCCAGAATCCCCCTCCCTGTATGCTTCTATGGTAGAATTGGGCAGAAGAGAAACATATGCCATAGTCAGAAGACAGAAGAAAAGCATCAGCCATTATACTCTGAAGGTTAGGGTGATCTAGGGTAACGAGAAGCAGTTGTAAGAGGGACTGACAGATTTAGTTTGTCCTCGTTCTTTTTCCCTATTCTATGTTCCCATCCCCATTCTACGTTCAATTCTTCTTCTCAACTGCCAGTCCTCCTGACCAACAACAACCCCAGACTCACCAGAAACTTGACTAAGAACTGACAGATGTGGTCGCTATGTGCACTGACTTCTGTACCAATCCATCTTTGTAGTGCAAGGCAGATGCTAGGTCTTAACCATTTTTATAACTGCAGGATAAATTTGTACAGCAACAGCTTTCTACTACATACTTTAGTTCTTTCACGTTCACATGTTCTTAATGAGCATTTATAAATTTTATAAAGATAAACAATTTTTAAGGAATTTTAAACATTTCAAGCAACCATCTCTAATTTGAAACATTCTAAATTCCCTCAAAAAATAAATAAAAGGAGTTTTTTCATCCTAAAAGAATTTTAAAAGACTCACATCATTAGATTGAAACAATCGAGTCATTGCAAAGAAGGCTTCTGTAGCTTCCATAGTTCCAAAGTGTTCACCCTAGGAAAAGTTAAGACAGTTTTTAAAACTTTAAAATATAGGTATTAAAAATTATCTCTTTACTTCTGGAAAAATCTTTTAAAATTCAGTAAGAAAGTTTCTTTGTAAAAATTCTGCCTCTTGGTGGGTTTTCAGGCTTTCGATTTTAAAAACCTGCACAGCCATTTATCCACTTCTTGTTTAAAATAATTCAGTATCACACAATACACTTAAAAATTCTAGAATAGTGGTCTCTCAGCTTTTAGCAGAAAACTGTTTATATTTTCCTCAACAAAGATTTACAACAAGACAGACTATGACAGCAAGTAGTTTCTAATCAGAGCAGGACGTTACTACTGCAGCAGAGGCTGTACCTTATACATTTCTAATGCCCAGCACAATACCTGAGCTATCATAGGAGCATAGTAAATATGATTGTAAAGTACTATCTATGAAGAATTATAGAAAATGGAGTAAAACAAAGTCCAAGCAAAGGAGAGCCCAGATTCATCTCATTAATTAAGAAGACTTGAGAGCCGCTACAGATCCCAAGACCCTGGCCCAAATCCTTACAAACAGAACTTGGACCTGAGCTTCACACAGCATGCCTGGACTTTGTCCCAGGGGAATCCTGAAGGAGCCTGAGGTTTTGCATCTCTAACTGGCTCCCAGTGATGCCAATGCTTGCTCACAGTTTGTGAATAGCAAGGTGTTAGACAACCTATCTCACTAATATTCAAAACATTTCAGATCACAGACTACCTAAAATATTACCATTTCAATATTTAATTTCTTCATTAAAAAGCAATCCTATGTAACATGTCAGGCACAATCTCTTTTCAGAGCTTCAGACTTCACATAAAACACAATTCGTCTTCAATCTATTTGCCATGGGTACAAAATGTATAGAAATAAATTTTTATATAAAATGTTGAATGTTTAGGATTAAAGACAAAATATAACAAGAGTTTACAATTACTTTAATCAGAGTGCCTGACTTGCTCATCAGCAAGAGACTGCCCTTTTTCTGTCATATTTACTGAATATTTAGAAGCTCATGAACTTTTTGGTTATACTGGAAAATCTTAAGTCTCTACCTTTTGACTTGAAACGCAGAGAATATATGGCTCTGTCAACTCTAATAAAACTGAAAAGTAATTTTCCATAACGCTCTACCAAGAACTAGGAAAAGAAATAAAATGTTCTCAAACCTGTTTATGTAGTTAATTGTGATTATGCTGTGCTTGAAAATTTCCTTATCAAGATAGTGTTTCAACATGAGTTACCACATGAAAGAGGTATTGGCCAACATAAAAGTATGTGCTACTCTGGATAACTTTAACTACTGAAAATCCTGTTTATATCATGGATTTAGTCAATTTGGACAAAATGTATGCAATAGAAAGATAAACTGACTTTGGTTTGCATGTTTCTAATATGCTGCCACAAGGTGTTATGCTGTTTGTGAGCAGATATATTTTATTTAAAATTATAAGCTTGCTGTTCAGTCTCCACTTGTAAACAAAACTTTGTTAAATCCCTGGATGAGGTCTTCAGTCACAAAACAAAAAAGACAAAATATTCTCTTAGAATTCAAATTGGAAACTATAGTATTCTTAGCATCATATGTAAGCCACCTGAAGCCTATGGTATATATATATGCATATATGTATATGTAAATATATGATCTATAAAACAAAAACACATTTTCTATGGTTCTATATAGTTCATGAGGTCTGAAGCAAAAAACATAAGCAAAAATAAATCAATTACAATAGGACACAGAATCTATATTCTACAATTACAAATAATTTTTTTGGTTTTGTCTGCTTGTATTTCCAGTACATAGAACAGTACCTAAGACACAGCAGCCATAAAATTTGCTAAGTAACTGAATAAACACCATTCCTGAATGTGTATTATGCATCATGCACTATTCTCAATGCTTAATATTACTATCTCATGTAATCACTGCAATTTTATAAAACAGGTGTTATCATAATTCCATTTATAGAAGACAACATTAAGGTACATAATAGTTAAATTATTTGCCCAGAATCAGGTTGCCAGTAATACTAGAATAAGGATGATAATATAAAATCTGAATATTGATCACATCTTTAAAATATCATTATTATACACACAAAAAAAGACTGAATATCTGAAGTTTGTTTGCCCTTGCAGTGTATTTCCAGAGGTACATAAAGACCTCTAAAGACATGTAAATGATATGTTCTAACTAGTAATTGTTAAATTCAAAGCAACGTATTTATTGAGCATCTACTATGTGGTTAGCTAGCTTAACTCATGAAAATAAAAAATACATTGCAGTCCTTGAGCTCCAGAAGTTTTACATGTTTAATATATTAGTCAAACATTGTGGACTTTAAAATTAGGTAAATTTTAAAAAATTATGCTTTCCAGAAAGTACTTCATTGCAGGTTATATATTTCTATGCTAGGGCACAAATCTAAGTAAAGTCAAAATAATTTACCTGGTTCAGTAAGTAAAGAATCTTTGTAAGAATATGCAAACATCTTCTTGGATTGATGGGCGTTTCATTGAATAGACGAGCCTATGGAAATGTAGAAAAATTATGTTAAATATAGTGTAATTTCTATCTTTTCTAGCACAGATTACCACAAATCAATTATAATACAGACCACTTTAATGAAATATCCAAATAGCATTAGCTGTCTATAGCTCTCAATTTTCTATGGCACATGATAAATTATTAGATGTGGCCTTGATTTTCTAGTTCATAATCTCTAACTCATTTTCTTAGGTCAACTACTTCAACCTTAAGGGCTTTATCTGTTAAGAGTTACAATATTTATCAACACCATATGAACACAATGAGTTTCATATCTGTAACTTCTTCCAATACCCCTGAACTTAACACCTCTTCTGATATTTTATTTAAAATCCTTAATGCAGGGAAGAAGGGAGATAAAGGAGAAACATGGAGGGGGTGAATCTAAGATATATTATAAGCACTTATGTAAATATCACAACAAATCCCCCCTGTATAACCATAATATGCTAATAAAAAATAAAAATAAAATCCTTAACACCACGTCTTTGTAGTTCCATAAGCTCTAGATTCTCCTGTGAGAAACCCTCTTCCTTTTCCCTCAAGTCCATATTCTCTGAACTCAGTTAAATTCTTCAAAATGAATTTAGAGTTTTGCTCAAATCTAGGGAGAGTGATTCTCAACGTCTCCATCTCCCCATAGCAGTGCCAGCATTCCTTAATTCTTATTTTGGATGTCTTGATCATAGTATCCCAGAGGTTCTCTGCCCATCATTCTAAACTAGAACAGAACAGAAAAGCACAATATACTTCCAAGTCATACCTCCTGTAAGACAGCACTCTTCTCCAGATGTTGGAAAGGATTGGAACCACTACCTACAGCAGAAATAAAAGAAGGCCCTCAGTAGTTGCCCTGGAGTTTATTACCTGGAGCAGGGTACTGAATTTTCGGGAAAAGTGATCATTTGTTGATAATCATTACTAACATGCATATAAACTGAATTTCCAATCATTTTGATTCTGGTAGATGTCCTATCATTTCCATACTGAGAATTTGGACTTCTCTTTTGCAGAAACCTTGCCCAAAATGAGTGTCTTTATTCTGCCTTTTATTTTTTAATAAACCCCATAAGTGTTACAAACGTGTTATTTCCCCAACAACCAAAATGAGATTATGATAGGGCACTTTGCTGTCCCTAAAATCAAGCCCTCTGTTTTTCTAACAGTAAGAGGCAGAAATGAAGCTTCCCTGAGAATCACTTAGGGGGTCATGAAGGTTCATTAACCAACCCTCTACCACACTTTGTGAGAGCAGCTAAAACTGAGGGTTTTTGTTTTTTTACGTGGCCTGGCATCTTGCCCATTTGCGCTGGACCACAGATGGGTATGAAGACGCAAAGTCATTTCTGGATGCCTGAATTGAGTCTTGGCCCCTGAGGACAGGACAGTCAGGGCCATCAGGAAAACTGGAAGGCAGAGGCACCTGCATGTTCCCACGCGCACACGCACGCACTGCGGGGACGACCCCAGCCACGAGAGCAACTCGGGGTCCCCACTCAGGGCCTAACCCACAGCACGCTCGCAGACTGCACTTGCGCTCGCACTCCGCCCCCTGCCAGGGGCCCGCGGGGAGGTGGCTCCGAGGGGCTCCGGAGGGGCGGGGGCGGGGCGGGGACGGGTACCGGGCTGGGGCGGAGCCGCCGAGCAGCCCGAGGCGGCGCCCGCGTGAGGCCGGGAACTCGCGGCCCGAGGGGAGGCCCCGGCGCCGGGGGAGGGGCTACAGGCAAGCCCCCGGCTGGAGCGGACGGCCCCTCGCACGGCGGCGCCCACGCCCCCAGCCCCGCCATCCCGGAAAGCAGGTGACGGCGGGTGAGGGAAGGGGATCCCCGCGGCTGAGGGTGGCGTCAGAAGCCCCGCGCGTACCAGACTCCTCGTCCTTCTTGTCGAATTTTTTAATCATCTTGGACGACTTCCCAGCGCCCAGAACCACCGCAACCGTCCCAGGCGCCGCCGGCAAGCGGAAGAGGCTGCAGGAAGGCCGGCCCCATGCTCTCGCGCCGGTTGGGCCGCCGGGCCGTCACTCGGGGCCAAGGCCCGCCCTCCCGGACCAGCGCGGCCGCCCTCGCCCCCTGGGGACGCAGACACGCCCTCTGCTCCTCCCCCCCCACCGCACAGGGGGCGGGGCCAGTGCTGCCCCCGGGTTCGCCACGCCCACCCGCCCGCGCCTGGCAGCCCAGGCCTGTGGTGGCAGCAGCAACAATGTGGTTTTATTTGATGGGTGATTTCTGCAGGCCCCTCAGTCCCTGGAGAGCAAGGCGAGAGGTCTGATGGGTTTGTTCTCACTTAGTGACAATGGCATTTTTGATAATCCACTGCTGAGCCCTTCCGTTGCGGAAGGCGTTTTCCCCGGGCGCGCTTCTGGTGGGCTTCTCTTGCAGAAGCGATGAAAGTATGAGTGGTTCCCAACGCACCTGGGAAGTTGGCATTTCATTCTCTGACTTCTTGAAAACTGCGACAAAGCACAAGACACCTTGATGAATATGTATTTCCAAAAGTTCTAGAAAGGGACTTAGTGGGAGAGGTGGAGGGACCAGAGAGCCGGTCTTTACTCTCACCGCGTACTGCGTTCCCAGTCTTTTTATAGTTCTGGATTCCTTCCCTTCATCCAAGCTAAACTGCCAGTTTAGTCTTCCTTGCTTAGTCCAACCCTTTTCAACTGAGTCCATCTGCCACCACGTTGACGCTTAGGTAACTAAGTTAACGTACACTCATATATTCACGTGCCTCTGAGCCTTTGCTAAAAGTGTGTGCTGGTTTGTTTTCTTGTCAAGAGAGTGTGGTTAGCAAGCTTTTTCTGCCTTTGGCTTCAGTGGCAGCACTTTATCTAGATTCTCTGTTAACCTCTGCCTGGTAGCCTCCATTGTGGGATCTTCTTACTCCCACCCATCCCCATTTTAGGGATACATTTTGCCTTGTAAATGTCCCTTGAATCTGTTCCCTTATCCCTACTACTGTCATCTCAGTTCTGTGGTTGGCCTGTTGGACAGCCTCCGACCCAGCCTTCACAACTTCTATCCAAATCGTTGTTGGTGTCATCTTTATTTGGATGCCTGGGAAACACAGGGTAGTACTGAGGAGAGGAGATGTCTCTTTTGCTTAAAGTGGAAACACTAGTTCAACTCCCTGTCAGATTTGTCTTTGTTTAGGAAATGCAACATAATCAGCGCTTTAGGTACAAAAGTGAACTAAGCATTCACTCCTTTTTCTTAAGGGAAATTGCAAAGGAACCATAAATCTCAATAGATACGGCAGACACCTAATAGTTCTCCTTATAAATGTAAATCAAGCACATCTTGTGAAGGACTGTGCTCTTACAAAATTAGAGAAATTCTAATCTAGGTTAGTTCTAGATCCTAGAGAATTTCTTTCCCCCATAATGTGGATTTCGGATGAATAATGTTCCTCAGTCTTAATAATGGGATCATTTAAGAGTTAACTCCAAATTGACTAAATACACAGTGTTAATTATTATATTTGCCTTATCTGGCTTATAAAGTTCAACCTATACTTTCCAGATAGAGTTTCTCTTGAAAGAAATAGGTGTTTGCACTTATTTGTTCTGGGATTGGAAATAAACAGGCTTTGGGGAAGAAGGGACCTCTTTCCCTTCCTTGGGTCAAGGATATTGGGAACTAGGCAGAAATGATGTCAATAAACCTAAAGATTCCCAAGACTGGGTAACAGGAAGGAAACTGAGGTTGGGATGTGGCTGAGCCTGAGTGGTCCCTTTTAAAGCAAGATAAACCACTCTCTGCTGTTCCTCAACTTTTTTCTACATCTCTCAAGTTTTGTTTCATACCACAGGTTGGTTTTAGTTGGGTATGGGGAGTTAAAGAGAGGCAGTAGATGGGTGGTGGGTAGGTGAAGTAGCAAATAGGAATAGTTGGAGCAGAGAAGCCTGAAGAAGCCAGTTAAGGGATGATACAATATAACTCACACCTTTGGAGACATGGCTACCCTACCCTGAAGCAATAGTTGGTAAAGTCCAAGGGCCCATCAATTACATGCCTATTGCACACTTGTGTATTCAGTGCTCTGAAATGTTCAGTTTCAATGTACAATGCCCTTCATGGTTTAGTCCACCTGTCTCACATATTGTAAATGCTATCACTGGTGTTTGGAAGTGTCCAACACTTAGTATGTACTCCAGAAGTGTTGTTAAGTGACAGACAATATAGAGGAGCATTCTTATTAATACCCTTTTCCATACAACCTTATCCCAAACTTCCTCCACCCTATCTCCTACCCCAGTACCAAAGAGATTTATAGCCCTCTGAGACTCACAGACTTAACCTTTAGCCCTTCTAAAGCAGTTTTCCTCAAAGTATGATATGCAAAAACATTTAAAAATTTTTATATTTATATGCCAAAACCATTATATCTAATGTAGTATTATTTAGGATAAGTATTTTTATATCATTTTAAAGAAAAATGTCAAATAAGTAATACAGCAAACAATATGTCACTATGGTAAAAACTATGAAAGTGATAGGTGATGTAGTTTGGGAAACACTATGCTAGTGCTTTCTTGAAATTAGAGGATTTAAACAGCCTAGCACCACCTGAACTTCTGTTAGTCCTTAACTTCTCTACTACAAGGAAAAATAGCGTCCAGATCTCCCATGAGAGATGCCAATGTGCTTGTCTCTCTAATCCCCACAGACTCTACTTCCACAGCCCACATCTCAGACCAATAAAACATAGTGTTGAAAAAAAAAAAAAGAGCTTACCATCCTTCCTCTTATCTCTTGTACAAACTGGGGCAAAGATGAGCTGAGGGTACATTTTTTTCTGTTTCCTCAAAGCATAGATTTTCGAGTACTTCCCTTCACTCTTGAAGTCATTGTCAGTGGAAAACCTTAACAACAACAACAAATACCCAGTTCACTTTAGTAGATCCTGGGGCAGGGAATTAATGGCACCAATCACCTTAAAGTCAATTACATCCTCAAAGATTTCAAGGGAGAAGAAGGGACAATGACAAGAAGCTGTTGATTGGTCCAGAGTGGGGCTATTGTTCAATGACAAGGGATGTTTTTAGACCATAGTGTTGCAACCCTTTGAGATACTCCAGAATCTCCTCACTTCTCCAAACTAGATAAAGGTTGCTCCAATAACTAGTTTCAAATAAAACTTCTTTTGTCTGTCTTCTCATAGCATTTGTTCCTATACTAGTCTTTAACTGGCACTGAGGACACACTTTTATCCTGTTCCTTAAAACACAGAGCTTAGAATACAGCACTTCCTTTCATTCTTGAATTCATTCTCAGTGGAAAACATTAGTTTGGCATTGCTGTATCTCTTTCATTAGCATGTAAATGAGGTTGAAGATCATATAAGGAAACTGTCGAATATTACACAGTTGGACGTGTTCCCTACAAGCAAATATATGTGGAAAAGCATTCTCATCGCACCCATGCAATCCTCTTTGGGTCTCCTTTTGTGATTGTTAAGTTGTATTGAACAGAGACAGTGACATGAATAAAGAAAAGATGGGAAAGAAAATGATACAAGAGCCAGGACTTTACCTAAACCATTGTTCTTGCTTGGACGTAGGATCATCCAACAGGTTCACAGAGAAGATTGGTTTCGGCCCAGACTTGCATTTCTTTTTCTGGGGCATCAGGGGCAGGCAGAAGTTCTGGGTGGGTTTATGCTGATGGTGGATTTCCTGTGGCAGAGGGGAGAAGAGTAAATGAGGAAGCAAGCTGAGTTCCTTGGGATTAAAGACTGAACTGAGTTCCTGAACTAAATTACATGTCCTCTAACATGATGGAAAAACAAAAAACCTCTCAGGGAGGAAAGTGAATCTTAGACATCTAAACCCAAGGAAGCAGTTCCCTGTGTGAGTTAATATTTATTTGCTTCATTGCCACATGACTTGTCCAAAGTTTGGTCAGTTAATTGAATTTGCCAGTTACTGGCCCTCGGAAGTGAAAGGCAGAGGAAGTTATGGCAGTCTGGGGAATGATTCAATCAGTGAATTGCTTGGGGAACCAAATATTTGTTAATAAATTGGGAAACAGATCCATGGACCTCTACCTTCCTTTATTGGAGATAGCTGCCTTATCCCATTCTTTTCTCTGTCTGCAGTGAAAAGGCTACAGAATAGGATTTGTGAGGTCATAATTTTATCATTCCTAAAGGTGATAGAATCACAGACTTTCAGAATCTTAAAGTTAGCCAATCTGACCATCTGATACTAATATGCCCTCCAGAACTTCACTTTGAAGAAATAATTCTTCCCATACCTAAAACGAAAATATCAATTTCATCTTTGATTAACCAATAGCTATTTCCCTGTACCTTTTTTTTTCCCAAGAAAAATCTAGTGCCTCTTCCACAGAGACCTCAAAAAATTTGAAGAAATCCATAATTTTCCCCTAGGCTCTATCTCTTCCTGGCTAAACATTGCGGATACCTTGAACTTTTCTTCATGTGGCATGGCTTTGAGTGCCCTTATTCTCCTGATTTACCTCATTTGAGACAGTTACAATTTATGTTTTTCCTAATATGTGGCAATCTGAAATGAAAACTGTTTGCCAGGCGCAGTACTTACATGGTACATCCCTGTCCCCATTCAAGTGTTTATTCAAAATCTTTACCTCTGCAGAGAGCATTCCTAACCACACTGTCTAAAACTGTCACTCACATGCCATCCATTCCACCCCTTTATCCTGCTTTGTCATGGCACCTGCCACATTATACATTCTGTGTGATCATTTATTTGCTATGGTCTGTCTAATCTTGCTACCTAAACTTCATTTAAGCCAAGATTTTGACTTAGTCACTGGTATGCTCCTAGAACCCCTTAATAGAGTCTGGCACATAGTAGGTACCCATTAAGTATTTGTTGAATGAATGAATGAGCAAACTATCAATTCATATATTGAGCTTTTTCTTTCAGAATTTTAAAGCCTTTGAAAAATACTTGCTGCTGCTGAACTATGCCTTTTTAATTCTGAACTTGTTCTCAATCTGTCTAGTTTTAAAAAACAGGAATCTGTTCAAGTTACCTAATTAATAGGTGTCTTAATGAAAGAGCACATGTATCTAGAAACTAAGACATAGCTAATGACCCTAGCCATAAAAAGAGAAGAAACCTTAGCAAAATGGACCTCATAGCAGAAGAACAGGAACTGAAAAGTTATTTCAAATCTAAGATGGCACTGGCTAAGGACCACCATCTTGTCTTGATCTTAACATATTACTAATGTGCCTCTCCTGCTTCCTTCCTCTCTCTCTCCCTCTTGACCTTCTCTCCTTCCCTTTCTCTCTCCTTTCTCTCTCTCTCTCTCTCTCTCTCTCTCTCTCTCTCTCTCTTTCTCTTTCTCTTTTTCCACTTCCCTCTTCCTCATCTCTCTCCTCTATAACTTCAACCTACCCATCCTCTACTTTCATGGCCCCTACACTATCCTTATTCCTCATGGTTTAATTATTTTTTCTCTCTTTTTTTTATTAGGGTATATTAATTATATAAAGGGTTTTCATTGTGATATTTCCATACATGCATATAATGTACTTGAATCAAATTCACTCCCTCTATTACTCTTTCTTATTCCTGGTTTGATTCTTTTATCATCTCACTTATGTGCCCTTCTAACTTTAATTCCTATTTCCTTAATCTTTTTCATTTCCCCATTTAGGTCCCTGGAAGCAAGAATCTGATTAGCTCAGGGAGTTTAGGGGTTGGTACGAGGCTCCAACTCAGAGCTTCACACTTGCTAGGCAAGTGCTCTACCACTTGAGACTCTCTACCAGCCCTTTTTTGTGTTGGTTACTTTCAAGATAGGGTTCTCAAGAACTATTTGCCCGGGCTGGCTTCAAACTGCAATCCTCCTGATCTCTGCCTACCAAGTAGTTAGGATTATAGGTGTGAGCTACCAGTGTCCTGCGGTTTTGTTTTCTTTTTAGTACTGTTTTGGTTTGTAAGTACCAATGTACTCCACAGGACACTAACCAGCCTATGAATTTTGCTTCACTGGGGCTGGTATCCTCTCTCTGGTCCATGCTAGGAGTATAAGATGGGGTCAGATTATATAAAATAAGTCCTCTTCCTTTTTTTAGGAGACGTAGCAGAGCCAGTTTCACTTTAATGGATTGTGGGACCCTGTTACTGTGATAGCCACATCTGTGCATTCCACTGTTTGCCTACTAGAACCCACACTCTTCTTATGCACACTCTGCTTTTCTTGTGTACAATCCTAGGTTCACCAGAAATTGTGCTTCCCAAAAAGGGAAGAAGGGATGTAGCATGAATGAAGAGCCATAGTAGATATTATGCATTCTAGTCTTTATCAAGAGAGAGCTGTAACTCTGTCCATGAATTAAACCGTTACAACAATATGCTCACAGGTATGATCAGGTCCTACTCCTGACCTTGAGGGCCTGCCAAGTGCAAGCTCTTTGAAGAAAGCTCTCCTTGCACCCAGGTTACAAGTTAACTAAGTATTTTCCTTCTCTGTGCTAAGCATAAAAGTCCTGGCCTGGCCTTTCTTTCTTTCTTGGTGCATATTACATCTAGTACCATGAGACACAACTGCTGAGCTCACTTTCAAAAGGCACAATTTCTGAGATCCAAGAGACCCCGGACAATAAATTCATTAATTCCTTTGTAGGAAGATAACCATCAGATACTGGCATTTTATCTTCCACTTGAAGAGGAATCTGTCACTGCCATCCAGGTAGCAACTAAAGAAACACTAATTCCAAATTCATCATATTTTATTATCTCATCTGTCTTGGGATACTCCGTTCCCAGAATCTAATTTCTATTAGATTCTTTTGTTTGTACTTTCACTTATCTCATTTAATTCCTTCCTGTTAGATTAGGCCTACTCTTAAGACTGTCAACATATTTCTTATATCCTGATTCCTAAATATCAAATCAATTTTCTTAACTTCCTCTGCTATTGACTTAGTTCGAATCTTCAGTATGTCTCATCTTGACTATTATAGTAACATCACAACTAGTTTTTCTTGGTTTTGTCTCTTCCACAACTAAAGCACCTTTCTTCAACCTGCAAAATGCTCTTTCTAAAACACAAATTTGATTACATCCTTTTATCTCCTGCCATTTACTCTCTTACATCTCCCTGAAAGCACCTCACTGTCTCAAGTCTCCTTGCCTTCGCACTTCCCTGATTGGAACATTCTCCGATTCCTTTGTCATGAGTCACCTCCTTGATTACTCCTTTTTCCCCAGCAGAGATACTGTTCTCTATTCTGCATTATTTCTGTATCTTGTATATTCTCCGATTATTCATGTATATCCTAGTATATTGGAATTATTTTTATGTGTCTTGTTTATTGGTCTCCTATAGGATTGCCAATTCCTTCAAGATTGCAACTATCCTATAATCATCTTTATGAACTGGTTCTTAGCTTACTGTATGTTCAGCAACTGTTTATTGAATGGGATTTGAACATCTTTACACTATAATAGAGTTCTGTCTGTCTACTCTGATGGTAAATTCTGTCTTTCCCTCTCCTGAAACCTGATTAGATATTCATTGCTGTTCCTTATTCCTTGTCTCCTGTCATCTTTCACTACTTTATTCTCAACTAAAAAGCCAGTGGACAGTTTCTCTTTTGTTCATTACAAACTGAATATCTTTGACCAAAGAGGAGAACTTTCCAACTAAAACCTCATCTTCTCCCTGCAATGAAGTTTCATGGGTCTATTCTGAGTATTTCCCAGACCCTTGAGACTCTGTTCTGTGAAGCCAGCAACGAGAAGGAAGAGGTTGTTTGCTGAGTACCAGTCTCCATTTTAGTTAGCTAACTCCTAATTCTTGAGTCCATGCTTTGGGTGCCAGGAGACTCCCCTGGGACCATTACCTTGAATAGTAACTCCTTGGAGAAGTATCTGGGAGCACCGTCCTTTTCTTGGTTGATCCAGCAGGGAGGTGGGTTGTTGGTCATAATCAATAAGGTCAGATCCTGATCATACTCTGTTAGCTTTAACATGAAGCTGGTGATTTGCCTACTTCGCATCAGCAATTTGTGCAGGGTAGTGGGCTTCAATGGTTCATAGTACTGGGCCTGAGCAGATAGAAGGGTTTCCAGAGAGGCAAAGAGATTGGCTCGAGAATACACCAGCAAATCAGTTGACCAATCTTTTGCCTCTGTGGGGCAGCATCAGAGGATGAGAAGGGCTGAACAAATCCCCACCCCACCCCCAAATTTGTTCATCTGAAACTGCTAGAAGCTCCCTGTCCCCATCCTTCCCTCAGAGCAGTCATTCCCTGTCAATAAACTAAGGGGCTGGAGAAATGCAACAGAAAGGTTTCCACAGTAACAGGAGCAAGATGATTTAAGCCTTTCAAAAAAGGGTAATGGAGTGCCCAGCAGAGTGGGGCAAACTGAGAAGTTTCTATGTGGCTCAACCTGATTGGTCTTCTCTCTCTACCTGTCTCTGAGGCAGAGGAGAAAACCAGGGACTGAAGCTCAATGCTTCCTTTATTTGTGTCTTCCCTCCCACCAGCACCTCTCCACAGGCACAGCTTCTTTAACAGGCATTCATAAGCACAGCGTTCGAAAGCAAAAGCAGTCACGAAGCACAGTGCGTCACCTAAGGTGTGGGTGGGGAAGGGGCAGTCCCACTAAACTCGCTTTTCTCTCAATAGGATTAGAGAGGGGGAGAGCCCTGGTTATAAGTATGTTTTCTCAACTGAAAAAATATCTGCTACATGGACCACTTTCTTCCCAGCCCCGCCCCCACCGCAATTCAGCACCACAGTTCCCAGCGCTGCCTTGGGCATTGTATTTCCAGAGCTGCTCTGCCTCCCAGTCCTGGAATTGCAGGGGTTTGGGGGGGCGGAGGACTTGGAGGCATTAGAGATAAACTTGCCCTTAGCCATCTTGGGGGAATGCTTTTTCACCTACCAAATCTGGATGGTCTGCATAATATCGACGGTTCTCTGGAACAAATTTTGATTGCCCGACTGGGTCAAAAATCTAAAGACAATAATCAGAATTAGTGGTTTCAAGTTGCACCTACTTTTTTTTTGTGGAGGGACTGGGGTTTGAACTCAGGGCTTGAAAAGTAGGCACTCCAGATCTCAGCCTCCCAAGTAGCTAGGATAAAGGCTTATACCACCATGCCAGGCTCAAGTTGCATGCATCTAAAACAGTATTCCACTCCTTGCCTCCCCTTATTCTCACTAAAAAGGAGTCTCTAATGGACACTAAGTGAAGACAGAACTCTTCATGTGCTTCATGTGTTGCACCCTGGAGTTCTGGAACAAGGATGTCTTGTGACATCCCAAGGAGAGCTGGAGATGGAAATGTGTAGCAACCTTTAGGAAATGTCAGGTGAGACTGTTGGGAAGTGACATAGACAAGGACAGCCTCAAAAGTCAGACTAGGACAAATCACCCCATAGAATCACACCCCGTACTCTGCCTTTTCCATATCTACAGGAGTGTGCAGGTGACAATCACAAGCAGGACAATCTCTAAGGAGGAAAGCAACCTACAAATGGGCAACCAACCTAAGGATTATGGCTGTAAAGGGGTTCTAAGGACAACTCTGTAAACTGAACTGGGAACAGACACACTCAGAGAAAGTAAAATGCATTTTGCATTTTTTAACATCTCTGCAAAATATGATTCTTCTAGAGACATTGCAAAAAATACTGAATTTCGATATCACGTCTGTCTACTACTTTGCATCTTTGTACTGGTGGCAGTGTTGTTTATTTGTGGTTGAGAGTGTCACAACTGGCAGTAGGGGAGCCAAACCTCTTCCATCTCCCTCTTCACGTTCCCAGCACTGTTGCCTTCCCACTCACTTAGCCCTAGGTTGTCTAAGGATAAATCAGAGAGAAAACACAAGGAGATAAAAGTTCTGAATGACCTTTTTTTGGCTTGGCATAATCAGAAATCAGAAAAAAAAAAAAAAAAGGGAGGAGTACACAACCCTGTGTTTGGATTAGTGTTTCTAAAGATTGCCACCCCCAAGGAGGTGGGTGCAGGAGAAAGGGCACTTGCACTAGAAGGTGAATAAAGCAAGAAGACAATGAGGGAGGAGGGAAGTAGTAAGGATGGGACAGAACTATGAAGCCTTATTATGCTGCAGGAGGAAAATGCCAGGAGTTGGCAATTCTTAGTTTTGGGTGACGACAGGGAAGAGACTTAGCAGAGTCACTCCATACGTTCTTTCAGGGAAGATAGGATGAAATATGGAATAAATCCAAAGACACGATCATTTAATTTTTATTATCTCTTGGAAAACTGAAATCTTATTGTTCAAAACAAAAATATATTATGAAAAAAACCTGCTTTGCAAGTATGATGTATGTGATATATTAATAATTATTAGAAGTCTAAAAAATTTTACTTGGAGGAAAGGTACTTTTTCTCCTAAAGTTTTCTTTAAAATTAATTTTTAAAAATTTAATTAATTCTTCAGGGAAAATTCCCTGGAGAAAATGTTTCTACTCCTGAATTTGGCTGAGGTATTGGATCTCAATTCCAAATTAGCCTCCAGTATCTGACCACACACACAAAATTGTTCAGATTGAGTATGTTTGTTGTTTTGTTATGTTGACTTGCATTACTGCTGGCTGATGAAATAAAAGTGGTCTGGAAAACTGGCTCAAATATAATAATCCTAGGGAAACAACCAAGATATCCAATGGCATTTTGCTACAAGAGGTAGCCCCAAAGGCTAGTTAAATCCAGGTTTAACACTCCCTAAGATATGTTTCTGGTTCCTAGGTTTTATACCCTGTTTGTTACTGATGTGTCCTCATTGCTCCTTTTTTCCCCCTATGCTTTTGTTTTTCTTCCATAAAGTGAGGTAAATTAACCTTGTTCTGTATGTATTAACTTGTTTTTGCTCTCCAATGGGAAGTTTACAGACCCAATTTGTAAGATTCTCTAAGCAACCCCAATGAAAGATTACCCGTGAACATTTGCTACTGCTCTTCCTTACCTTGTCACCATCATCAATTATTCCACTCTGAGGCTTAACTGGGTTAGCTTCTGGAGTCTTCGGTTCACCATGTTGTAACCTGAAAAAGAGGCAGGACATGTAGTTGTGTTGCTGACTCATAGTCCTACATGTTTTCAATACCCGTCAGCTAAGTCGAGGAGCCTAACTTAGAAAGTTACTTGTTCAGGTGATCATAAAATTGAATGTGTAGCAAATATAGGGCTCATTATTCAGCCTGCATGCTGGAGAAAAGAGAACTGAGGGGAAAGGGTTAACCAAGTGGGAACTCTCAGAAATGTGCTGACTCCAATGAATTGGTTTCTTTCTTAAAAAAAAAAAGTTTTATATCACTCAAAGAAGCGCCCTAGTAGACTGCCTAAGGAAATTATTTTGAGGTAAAACCCTTATAGACCACCTATTATTTTGATTGTTACCCGCCTACACTTTCTCCACATGAAAATGGTCCTGCTTTTGCTTAATGATTGGCCAATGATTAGTCAATGGATACTTGAAAAGAAATATGGTTTATGGAACTTCATGACTAAATTTCCAATCTTGTTGAACTTGCTTGGATTATTGGCTATCTTTTCTTCCTAATCATGTCTAAAGATTTCTCTTCCTAGAACTAGGGTAATAAAGATATCATCAATAGCAAATATCTTCATATTTCACTGGGTTCTTTCACCTACTTTCCCCCTCACTCCCAACCTGACACCAGTTCACTTTAGGAGAAGGGGAAAAGAGGGGAAGAAGTTGCAATATGTAATAATAAGGCATTTTGTATTCTCTGACTCATTCTTTTTAAATCCATTTACTACTTATCTGTAAAATGGGGCTAATGCTGGGGGCTAATGCTGAAAATAAACGGCCCTCTTTCTCCTTGATGATAGTTCCAATCAGAGACTAACGTAGCTAAAATGCAGAAGAATTCTGCAAGTATCTCAACTAGCCCTCTCGCTTTTTAAAATGAGGATAGCTGAATAAGGATCAAAATAAGAAAAGTAGAAATAGCCAAACCATGTGATTGGTAGGTCAATTAACTATAACATGACACAAACAACTCTAAATCCAGGATTAAACCCACCCAAAGACAATTAGCTCCTATCTATTGCTGGACCACAATTAAAAGCTTGGGTTGTAGCTAGTGGTAGAGCATTTACAAGGCCCTGGGCTCAATCCTCAGCACCCCCCACCCCACACACACAGATAAATAAATAAAATCTGGTTCTTCAACCAATAACTTAGTAACTTTAAAAAAAAGTTCCTAAGGGGGGAGAAATGACCCAAGCATTGTATGTACATACAAATAAAAAAAAAAGGTTCCCAGTGATAGGAGACCCCTTGTGGATAGCCCAAAATAAATTCACCCCAACTTAACATTTTAAAGTTTGTACATTTTTGATTAATCTTTTCCTATAGCTTTTATTGTATCACTTTTCAAAATGATTCATTGGTGTCTAAAAGGCAGCCTAGGATCCCAGATAGCCTTCTTCAAGGCCAAGTTCAAACCTAGAACTACTTGAAAAGCTCTTCTCCAATCCAAAAGTGCTCATCTTGAATAGCCTCATGCTTTCTTGTTGGTAAAGCTACTCTAATTTCTGCATGAAACACAGACCCAACTCTGGTTTTTGATCTGTAAGGAGTCAGTCAATGAAAATATATTTAATGAGAGTCTACTTGGTGATTAGCACTGTTTAAAGTGCTCTGGATTACAAAGTAAGTTAGTATAAAGTGGTATTTATAACTTAGTTGAACAAGCAAGGTGACATACTTGGCATACTTCTTTGGACCCATTGCTGTTCACTGACAATTGGGCCAACCCAAGGCAGGCATTCACTGCAGTCCAAATTCAGTGTTTCTAAATAGGTTATATTCTGCAGGGATTCAGTTCAATCCAAATATTGTTTCCTTAGCACACACCGTGTGCCAAGCCCCATTCTTGATCCTGTGTGGAAAACAAGAGAAGACTGGTAGATGATATTGTACATATAGAAAATGCACAAAACATAATGATTTTGCCCTCAAGAAGTTAAGTGTATTTGACCATGAGGGAAGTGATCATTAAATGTGGGAGGTCTCAACTTCTTCATCTGTAAAGTTAAATCATTAACCAAATGATTCAAAGGAGGCATCCTAATTCCATGAGAATGGTGAGACTTGCCTACATGAAGATCTGAAATGAGATAAATTGGTATTTGTCAGTAGTGGGGGAGTCTGGGGAACTACCATCTTTTAATTTAGCTCCCTTTTGACTTAGAACCATGCTCAACTGTAGCCAAGGGTGTGGAGAAGTAAGGATGAGGATGCTGTTACACTTTTTGATATTTATAGTTAGAAACGGGAGAAATGGTCTGAGGGTGTGGAACCCAACATTTAGAGAAAAGAGAGGTCAGTGAGGCTAGCAGAAGAGATTTCCCAAAGGAAAAGGAGCTTGAGAACTTGAGCAGAGCCTTACAGGATGGCGCATGAAGCAGCAGACATGGAAGGTTAGTGGTTGTTGTTTTAAGTAGTAAGAACTAAAGAGAGGTAAGTAGGATGGGATCACATCATGGAGGCCTTAAAAATGAAGTAGAACATGGGTAAGACCCATCATCGCAAGTCACTAAAAAGACCATAGATTTGGAAAAATGATATATATCCATGTTTATAGGTGATTTTTTAGGGTTTGTGTCTAGTTTGATTATCTAGACATAAACTCCAAAGACGATTGTCCAGAGTTTGTGACTAGACTGAATTAAACCCTGGGGAAATAATTTTTTCACCTTTAGCTTTTCTGGAAGTGTAAGTCCAGTTTGAGTATATATTAAAACTAAAATTAAGAAGTTATCATATTGGAAGTTACAAGTCTATGTTGCTTGTGCACAGCCAAGGCTGGAAAAGAAAATCACATGAACACAAACTACATTGAATATAAAAATAGAAAACTATAACTGAATGGCTGGGCATGGTGGCTCACTTCTACAGTCCCAGGAATTAGGGAGGCAGAGAGCAGGAGGATTATAGTTGAGGCCAGCCCAGACAAAAAAGTTGGCAAGGTCCCTGTCTTTATCAATAAGCTAGGTGTGGTGGTACACCTGTGATTTCAGCTATGTGGGAGATCATAAGTAGGAGGATCTCAGTCCACTGCTGGCCCTGAGCAAAGCTTCAAGACCCTACCTGAAAAAGCAAAATGAAAACAAAAAGGGCTGGGGGCATGCCTCAAGAGGTAGAGTACCTACGTAGCAAGTATAAGGCCCTGAATTCAAACCCAGTACCAAAAAAGAAAAGAAAAGAAAAGCTGTAAGTGATGTATGTAAGTGAGCATGGTGATGCACACCTGTAGTCCTAACCACTAGGGAGGTGAGGTGTTGAGGTGGGAGAATTACACGAATCTGGGCGTTCGAAGCCAGCCTGAGCAGCAGAGCAAGACCCTATCTCAAATCAAACAAAACACAAGAGGAAGAAAGAACAAAAGGAAGAAAAGAGAGAGAATAGAAAAAAGGAGGAGGAGTAGGAGGTGAGGGAGAAGCAAAGAGAGGAGGAGGAGGAGAGGGGCAAAAAAGAAGACCTGGTATACAATACCTTTAAGGACACCAGGGCATCTCAGGGAGGAAGATGAGGTTCCTTGATAAGGAAACTTTCCATTGTAAAGCTACCAATGATTCCCTTCCAGATTCTAGAGGCAACACAGGGAAATTGTGATGAACACACACTCTAGAATGCCTAGGTATTCTATGTTGAAGACAAAATGAAAAAGATAAAGACATACTTATAATCTGCTATAGTCTGCTCCCACCCTTACTGACCTGTTCAATATCTCTTAAATCAATCTCTGCCTTAGCCAATATTTTCACTCCATTCTTCAAACACAGTAAGCATGTTACAAACACAGTGAGCACTTCTCTTTTATTTCCTGTACTTAAAACACTCTACTTAGCCATTTGAACTTTCTTTATGTTATTACTCAGGTCTTTCTAAAGAGAAGACTTTTTTTTCCCCAGTCAATTCCACCCCAAACTCTAGCCTACAGGTATTATTTTCTGTGCATACAATCATGTTGTTCCTTGTACCTTTCTTAAAGGCCATTCTTGTTTATCTTCTGGGCAGTAAGAGTCTTAAAATGGAAATGTGACTTTTATACCTATTTGCATCCTCACAGAGCTTTGCATGGTAAGCATTCAAAGTCAGTACTAATATACTTACTGACCATTTGTAATGTGTTAGACACACCCTAGCTGATGAGAACCAAACATAAATGTAAAGTAATCCTTGACCGTAAGGAACTCACTTGTTTTCTAGGAAGAGAAGATAGGAAAGTGCTGATTGCAACAGACTGGACACATGTATTAGAGAGAAGTTCAGAATGGTATGGGGCAAAGGGGAAGAACTCTTCATGGAGACCGAGGAGAACCTGGGAGAGACATGGAACTAACACACAAACAGAGCCTGGAAAAGTGTGAATTAGTCAGGTGAGGAGAAGAGGACATGGCCATTTGTAAAAGGTGACAGCACAAACATAAATGAGAATACAACAAGGCATGGCTTATTTAGAGGAACTGACATAACAGCAGTTGTCTAGGACAAAAGATTTAGAGGGAAGATGACAAGAGGTAAGACTAGAGAGGTAGACAGGATCCAAATCCTAAAATGATATCCTGCTGGGAAGCTGGTAGGTAATTCTGAGTGATGAGAGATATCAGTGAATTTAAGTAAGAAGATACTTTGAACTATAGATTTATAGGACTGTGAAAATACTGGCAGTGTGAAGTATAGATTGGAAAGAAACAAGAATTATTGGAAAGAGGCAAAGATGAGAAAGCTATGGTAGTACCGGGAAGGGCTAAGGACTGTAAGGATCTGTGGGAATCATAGATGTACCACTCACCCCACTGTCCTGGCCCTGGTTAACTTACCCTCTCTGCCAGGAAATTGAAAGTGTGGTGAAGATGCACAGATGAAAGATGACTATACCTATGCCATTTGCTAAGTGTTCCAGGGCTACCCCAGGCCCAGTCTCCCTGAGCATGGTCATTCAGCTTGCCCCGTAATTCCCTGAGCATTCTGAATATCCTTTCAAATATATCCTCCCTTTTTTGCCTATATTAATCAGAGTTCATTTCTGTGGTTTGCAACAAAAAACACCTAAATTGATACAGACTAAAGCAAAGAAGTGGCCATGAGAGGAAGAAAAGACACCAGGAAGAAGGAATTAATAAGACTTGATAGCCAACTGGATCCAAGGGTAATGAAAATAATCACATTTTAGCTTCATTACCTGAGTCAATTCCAAAGCAAATGACTAAGTTAAAGAATAAAAAAGATGGAACAAGTTTGAGGGACAATGATAAATTTTGGTTTGGGTCAGCTGAGTACAATGGCCAGTTAAGGGCATTTCTAGTAAGTGGTTTAAAAGATGAGTCTAGGGCTGAGAGCAAAGCTCAGTGTAGAGCACTTGTTTGACATGTGTGAGACCCTGAGTTCAATCCTCCATAAAAAAATAATAGATGAATCTGGAGCTCAGGAGAGATGAGTTTGGTACTATAAATTGTATGTTTATGCCCTGCCTCCCCCAGTTTATATGTTGATCCCTAATCCCCAATAAAAGGGTATTGGGCAGTGGAGGCTTTGGGAGGTAATTATTAATGACCTTCTACAAAAGGACCCAGGAAGCATCTTTGTCCTTCCTACCATATGAGTGCACAGTGAAAAGACATCATCTATGAACAAGGAAGCGGGCCTTACCAGGTGTGGAATCCACTAGCATCTTGATCTTGAATCTCTAGCCTCTAGAACTGTGAGAAATTTATAGCAGCCTGAACAGATTAAGACATTTAGAATGGAATTTCATATATGGGAGTCAGCACCCAAGTATGTATCTTAATTGAAGCCACCGGAGTAGATGAGAGCAAGAGGGAAAAATGAGAGACTAGCCAGGTGTGGTATTGCAAGCCTGTAATCCCAGAACTTAGAGGTTGAGGCAGAAGAATCATGAGTTCAAGGTCAGCCTGGGCTACACAGCAACTGTCTCAAAAAGAGAAAAAAAAAAAAAAAGAAAAGGGAAAAAGAAAAAAATGGGCTAAAAAGAGATAGCTGAAAAGGTTTAGTGCAGAACCCCCAATTATGCAAACATTGAAGAAAAAGGATCATAAGTAGATGGTGTAAAAACACTGAAAGAAGAGGCCGGAGGTTGGAGAAGAACCAGGAGAAAGCCACATAAGTCATGGGCAGGGACAAAATCACATAAAAGTAAGCTAAACATCCATTAGCGCCTGAAGTGCTAATTCTGAAGTCATAGAAAAGAATTAGGACGCATCCAAATGATCAGAAGTTAATGAACAACCCCTGGCTGCCAATTATGAGGTAGATAAAAACCATATTGATTGAAAACCCTTCTAAGCTGAGTTTGTGGAAAAGCCAGGACTTGCTCAAAGAAACAGAAACCATCCATTGCTTGTCTTCTCTTTCAGAGACATGGGTGCTGTATCAACCAAAACTCAGGGTGGTCACCCCTTCCTAAAATTCCTTGGGTGTTGAGACACAAAAGGACAATTCTTCCTCATCCCTTTACTTCCATAACTTTCACAGGTAACAGCTTGTCAGAAAAGATGAGGACCTAGAGGTGGCACAGTGCATTCTCTAGATGTGACCTCAGGGGCAACGAGCAGGAGGTAGGGGCGCAAGGCAGGAAGAATTCGTTGTGGGACTGTTTTCTTCCTCCTCTTCCATTTCTGTTTATAAGATAGAAACTTCTACCCTTTTGGAAGCATTGACATGGACAGCAAGAGCAGAAAGAAAGATCCACCCTTCTTTCCTTC